TCCAATGGACACCATTTTATTTGTAACACTATAAATACCCCCTTCATGTAACATTTGAAGACTAATGCAAATCAATGCACTTGAAGCTACTGTTTGTCTTCTCTATTGTTAATTATACACTTGTTTATTGCTTGAGTTGAGATTATCTAGCTTTAGCCGCTGATGATTGGTTATTATTACACAATCACTCTCAAAATATATTACCGGAGCTCAAATATATTTGTCTCATGTTATAAAATTTCTTCCACGTCCAAACCCTAGAGCATTATTGTCTAGCATCCTATCCATACACGTTGAAATTTGCTTACGTGTACACAAATAGATCCAGTATTTATTCTCCCTCACCATAATGGAAAACAAGGTCAACAAAATATGATGTTTAGTGCATGCAAGTTATTAAACAAAATTGGACAAAATAATTAACAAACTGCGTACCAAAATGTCTTGTAAGACGAAACAGTTGAATGGTTGAACATTATGAGCTTTTGGAGAACATGTAATTGATACAAAACTAACCTGAAGATAATCATCACTAACTTTGAAATACTGCAGTTTACATTTATATTATGATATCCCTTTAATGCCCATTTTTACTTCATTTTTGTTCTCTGCCTTTGATAGTCATTGACTGCCTGAAATTACATCTTTGAACTGGTTATTTTGAAGAAAACTAAATCAGTAATAGTCTATTGTCGATAACTATTGCAAATACTGCTTTCTTCGTGATCTGATTCAATTTCTGTGATCCCACTTGAACCCGAAGATGAGGATACAGGTACCAGATTCAAATCTGTCCTGGCCTTGCCCATGAAATCAAAGAAAACAGGTATAGATTTCCCTACAGTAGGCGCCCCTCTGATTTCTTTTTGCGCTTGTTCGTCCTGGTCGTCATTTTTGTTGCTTCTTCTCTTCAAAAATATTCGGCAGACAACCCAGTTTTCCTGCAAAGAATTGTAATAATCAACAATTAAAATTGCTTCTACTGGTTTACATAATCTAGTTTTATCGAGTTGAAATCTATTTGAATTGTTACCTGGCCTAAATTTGTTCCTTGCGGGGTAGTGGTTTGTGCCTGAGCAAGGCGATACTCGTGCATAATCCAGTCAGTTCTGCATCCAGATGGAGGCTTTCCCGTGTAGAAAACTAGAGTTTTCTTCAACCCTACAACTTGGTGGCTCCTCGAACTCACAATTTGTTTGTCAATTCCAGTTGCCTTCCAGTAGCCGGAACCAGTGGCCCTGTTTGATCGGTTCCCATTCGGGTACTTTAACTCTCTTGTGCTGAAAAAGTATTTCTCTTGCTCTGAATCACCTGTATATATACACAGAAACTCACCTTATGTTCCAAACACATAAGCTTAGAAGAGTCAAGTTCGCAACAATAAGCCTTACGCTGCATTTTGTCGAACATATTGCATGCAACCCACCCATAACATAAAAAATTTCACCAAACATAAACGGGGTGGGAAAAAAAAAAATAAAAAAGTAGCAACCTGGCAAATCCCAAGGATCAGACTTGTTAACATCGACCTCCTGGATGATAGAAGCTGGTAGAGGATAAGAAAGAACCTTGCGCTTCAAATATTGTACCACGAGTTCTTCATCAGTAGGATGGAACCGAAATCCAGGAGGCAATCTCAGCACACAATTCTTCACAAAGTTAATTTTCTCCATCTCTTCTTTAACAGAATACTTCAACACAAAGATTCAAACTCAACCCAGAAAGTGTAATATTTGAGNTCATATAGTACCACCCATTTAACTCATCTTTACTAAGTACTCGAGGTTGAAAAAGCATTTGGAAGACATGCAGAGGCATGTCCTCACCGAGGGAGACCTCCTTCCAAAATAAGTTGGCCCCAACCACCAGGCTCTACCTGTTCGGTGGAATTTAGCTCGGAGCCAACAAGAAACGCCTTAGCACCGTCCTAAGTTTGGCTAGATTGGTGGAGGTCATGGCAGAAGGAATCTTGGCAGCCCCCACATCGCTTCATAATCTATGAGATCTTCACTCATGGCCCAACAACTCTTTTCTAACCCCCAAGCAAAGCCTCTTCTCGAAAGCTCGCAATTGTAACCCTAGCACTGCTAGCACTCGACCTGGAAGCCATTGAAGGAACGATGGATGTAGCGATGAAGAAAGAATCTAACATAAATGTAATCTAGATGAATGAAAGATCTAAGAATGAACGTTTGCCAGAAAGTGGAAGTTGCCAAAAAATTAGATTGTTTGGAGAATTTGGATGATTTTTTGCAAAAGTAGAGGTATAACAATGACAGTTTTGGCTTTTATACCAAAGGGAGAATAAGCTAGAGTCGTTAGATTAGGATCTATTAGATCTGAGCATTCTAATTTTCAACTAAATCTGAGACGTTGAATTCAAACAGTTCTTCTTACAAACGCCTCAGATCAATGCGTGTTCCCAAGCACGAGCCTCAGTGCATTGCGTTACAAAAGTAACAACATGGCCATCATTGCGAATTTAATGTAACGATCGTACGTGCCTTGGAAGTAGCAACGCTTCTACTATCTTTTCTTGGTAATATACAAGAATTTCAAACGTTAGCACTACTAACGAGGTCAATATTCTCCAAATAAAGAAGCCTCTGCAGTTCAACATCATGCTGTCTTAATGAGCCTGGACAGTTCAACATCATCTTGCCTCAGTTCAAAATAAATTTTAGTTATCTTCAAAATAAAAGGAGCTTCGACAGTTCAGCTATATCTTGTCTCAACTCAAACAAATCTCGAGTATTTTCGTAGTACGAAGAAAATGGCTAACTTCCAACTCCAGTCATGAAATGAATATCTATACTTAGACTTGGGGGACTATTATTATTGTGTAGCTAAAAAATAATGATAAAAAAATAAATATTGTTCACTTAATATTGAAGTTCATGCATGATATGACTAACTATACATGGACTTGGGGACTATTGTTATACCTCGCCGTATAGGCTCCATGTCTTCGACCTACTGAAGCCCTTATGATGTAGCCACGTAGACCAATAGAGTTTGTAGATCCGAAGTGCCGAAGCCATACTCATTGAAGCAGTCCTATGTTAAAGACAAAGCCTCGAAGCAAAGCGCATCTGTCTGCCGAAGTGACGAAGCTCAACACAAGTCAAAGACGAAACCCAACTA